AGTACGAGCACGCCAAGGGCACGCGGCGCGCGCATCTACGGCGAGATCCGCGGCTACGGTCTAAGTGGCGACGCGCATCACCTCACGGCCCCACGGAGAACGGGGACGGCGCCTTCCGGTAGGTCCAACGCATGTTCCGAGCACTTTTGGGACAGGAATGCTAGCGCTATGCAATCGGCGGTGGCCCAGTCGGGTCTTGCGCTCTCAGACATTGGCTACATTAATGCGCACGCCACATCGACGCCTCTGGGTGACGCGGCCGAAAACCGAGCGATCAAGCGCCTCTTTGGTACGACTCTGCGGAGCGACAAGCAGCGCAGTAACCTCGTGTGTCGTTAGGGTCGCACGCCTACAACCTCGGCGTCTCGTCGACCAAGGTGCGTGGCTACATCCTGGCAAAGCGCACATACAAGGATGCGTAGGGCGCCGTGGGGCACTTGCTGGGTGCGGCAGGCGCCATCGAAGCCATCTTTGCCATCAAGGCCATGCACGAGGTTGCGGATCCCATCAACGGAAGTGGAAACGCATGTGTGTGTGTTTGTGTAGAGTGTGCTTCCGCCGACGCTCAATTTGCACGACAAAACCGACGAATTCGACTTGGACTATGTGCCTCTCGAGGCCAAAGCCCGCTCGGTCAACGCAGTCCTCTCCAACTCGTTTGGCTTTGGGGGCACCAACTCGTCGCTCTGCTTTGCCAAGATCTAAGAGGTCGGGCATGAAATGCATTTTCCTTTGGCGTTTTATTTCAAATCACCTCTTGTTTGTATGCACGTACGTGGTATTATAAATTCTATTTTAGGGTATAGTGTACACGAATGAAAACAATGCAATTGTGAGACCGTTGCTTGATTGGGATATTCCCTTCCTGCAACGCCGGCTCCCCTTCTCGCCCCCGTCACAGTGTACAATCTCTTGCTCGTCCTCGCTTCTTGTTGGTACAGTACCTAGCGCACTCGTGCTAGGATATCTCTATCGAAAAAGGATCAAGGGTGAATAGCAATGCAGCATTATTGACCCTTGAAGGGCAGACGTCCACCATCGATCGGCACGGCGCTGGCTTGCCTCTGGTGCATGCTTCACGTCCACCAGCTGCTTGAAGCTCCTGTATGCAGGCGGTCACAAGCCAGCAAGTCAAACGGAGGGTCTGTCCTCGGTAGTACCGCAGCTGTGGCGAACGCGCGAGGAAGAAGTCGTACTCGGTCTGGAGACACAAGCAGAAGGGTCATGCCAAGCTAATCGTTCGTCATTGGGCTGTGTAGTGGCGCATGACGACTTATGGCTTGCGACATTAGCACCACGTCGGAGCAATCTCTCATTTCTCCAGCCCAACGGCTGCAAAGTTCGCATCTTTCCGTCGAAAGGCGTGTGTTCCGACCGTACAGCCGCAAACTGAGGGATTTTCTCACAGAGATCCAGCCTGCGCTTTTCATGCATCCATATCTACGAGTATCATGCACCACAAACAGCCAGATTGAAAGCAGCATTTTCGCTTTTGCCCCGTGAACCAACATGCCAGGTCCCCTTCTTCTCGCATCCGAAGTGCACGTCCCGGCGCAGACCGCGTGGCTGGCACCGTCGTCGTCGACGCTGGACCACCACAAGGCCGAGATCATTGCGTCGCGCCACTGGCAAACGTGCCGGGGCGCATCGCCGACGCTGACCTACTCGATGCAATTCGAAGCCATTGGCTGCCGCCACATCGTCCTCGGGGTCTCGGGCCAGCGCTGCTCGGGCCTCGCTGATGTCGTAGGCATCGACTTTGATGTGCGCACAGGCGCTGTGCTCTGGTCCTCGGAGCGCAACGTCCACTACGAGACGGACGCGGCGTACACGTACGAGTGGGGTGCCTCTGACGCGCACATCGTCACTGTGAAACATGACGTGTCTGCGCGTGAACTCGGCTTCTTTATGAACGGCGCATCCATGGGCATTGTGCTTCGGGACGTGCCCGAGTCGTGTGCGTACCCTGCCATGGCGCTCCGAGGCGCCTTGCAGCCAGGCGCAACCACGATCGTCCGGCTACTCTAACCTTGCTTCATGTACCTCTTTCTTATTGCTCCAATCAGCGTTTACGAAGGATTGTGAGGGCAAGACGGTTGACAGACGTTCGATGGATCTCACCAAGGGACATGCATGCCCTTGATATCACGTATCATACAAGCGAGTGTCCGCGTCCTACAAAGCAAGACGCCCCGTCGTCCCTCGCTCCTTGAAGTTGGAATCTCGATGGTCAAAGGCGCGCGAAACGTTCCTTGAAGTTGAAGTTGGCGGGACACCAAGGGTAACGACCGGTCGCGGAATTCGCCGTTGCGTCCATCTAAAATCGAAGTTGGTGATGCGATATGGTACTCAGTATACGTACTCGGCTTCGTACGACAACTCGCCTTTCCCACTTTGCACTTTACGATTTCCTTCTTTCCTCAGAAGCATGCCTTACTTCCCGGTGTCGCCGACCAACATGTGCAAGGTCGTCGACCTCAGCACTGCCGTGCCCACCAAGGCGGCGCCGCAATGGCAACCGACGTGTCCGACAACCCACCTGACAGTGGCTGCCACTAAGCAGTGGCAGGCCTTCCGCAGTGCCACACCGGCGACCGACTTCACCGTCGCATTCCAGTCGCTTGGCTGTCGCTACCTCGTGCTCGGGCTCAGCGCCGAGCCGTGCGCACACCAGAGTGATGTGACCGGTGTCCAATTCGACATTCGCACCGGCGCCGTGCTCCGGTCATCTAAGCAGTTGGTCGATTTTGCGTCCGACGCCGCGTACACGGTCGAGTGGCAGGCCAGCGACGAGCTCGTCGTTCGCGTCCAGCTCGACGCAAAGACGCGCACCTTGCACTATTTTGTCAACGGCCGCGCGACCGGCGTGTCCCTCCGCAACGTCCCCGACGCATGCGTGTACCCGGCCGTCGCGCTCCGAGGCGCGGCCCTCGACGCGTCCGTGACAGAACTCACGCTTCAGTGAGCGCCATCCACATACTGAATTAAACTATGATTTCCTCCTAAACCTAAAACGACGGTAAACACGTTGCATCCTTTTTGAGGTTCTGCGTACTACATCGTCGAAAGGACCGTGCGGAGCGCACCATTCCTACAAGCGCTGTTCTATCCTATCCATGATCTATCCACTGTAGCGACCGACGAGCGACGGAGGCGGCAGCGCGTCCATGATCTCGGGGTGGGCGGCGATGTAGGCTTCAACCGTCGTCTGGCGGTCGCCAAGAAACGAATGCTTCAAAAAGTCCGTGCGGACTTGCTACTCGCTCCATCAACCACGACGCATCCTACGAGGCTCGTGTACCTCACCGAGCTTGGCCACCGAGAGGAGGCAGTGGCGCAGGTAGACCTACACCGTTGCACTCATGTCTTATCCTGGTACGCGACACACGTGTTGTACCCGGCACGGAAGAATACCGCTCTCGGGGCCCCAGCCCCAGATCGTGTCCAGGCCATACTGCCCGTAGCGCTCGTCAAAGAAGGCTTGGCCGCTACATCAAGATCAGCCTTTCGATCGAGAGACACAGATAAACGTACTTGGCTTGGATCACCGCCTCGTCGGTCCAGCGAAGACACATGAGCGCCTCGTCTCTCGAGCCGTCCGCCTCTTCGTACTCGACGGGCTGAATGTCGTAGAGGTGCTCGCGGCGGCGAAACGCAAGTACTTGGTCCTCTGGTACTTCAAAGACGCTCACGATGAAGCTGCTACCCGGACTTGGCTCGACGCAGAGGCAGGCAAACTCCTAGCGCCACGTGACGTTGGTTACCAGCATCGTCGTCCATGCAGCACCTTTGTCGCGGGGTTGGCAATCTGCTCGGGGAAGAAGATCGAGCCTGGCAGCGCAAAGACGCGACGGTAGCCATGCACACGGCCAAGGCGGAAACGCTGCATCGTCGCGCCAAAGGTCGACCGCGCCGACGTCTCGGAAAGGAGCGACCCGTAGCCGAGGATCTTGACCATCGCCATCGTAGAGGTCGACTTGCGAAATGCGATTTCTTGGAGATGCCACGTATGCTTCTTGTAGTATATCAATATACAAAGGTTATGTGTTGTGAAGGTGAACGCGTGCCAGCTACGGCACGTGCGCGTCGTTTACCAGGACGTCACGAACCTCTTGCCTAGGCTAGCCATTCGTTGATCGCGTCGATCGCAATACTATGTGAGTCTGCGCGATTTTATTCGGTCAACGCGTCTCGGAATGGGATGACGATGCAGCCACCGAGATGCTAACCGAGTCGACTCGGTCGCAGTGTACATATCGACGCAAGCTGTTCTACGTCATCGACGCACAGCCAACTACGATCTTGTTGCAGTCTCAATTTTGGATGTGTGCGGCGAAGGCTACACCTATCCCCATACACTGTCTACCCGCTGTAGCGACTCGCCAAGTGGGGTGGCGGCAGCTCGTGCATAATGTCCGGGTGCTGGGCCAAATACGTCTTGATCGTCGTCTTGCGGTCGCTCAAGTATGTGTTGTTGACAAAGTCGTCGTACACCGCCTAGGACGCGTCGCATGAGCTACGCGCAAGAGGGGTATCGCTCGCACTTCGCCCAGCTTTTCAACCGCAAGGATGCAGTGCCGCATGTATACCTACGATTTCACGTCAGCAGCTCATCGTAGTCGCGTGAACGGTATGCACCCGGCATGGCAGGATACCGCTGTCGTGGGCATAGCCCCAGATCGTGTCGAGGCCATGCGCCTTGTAGAGCGTGTCAAACTCGTTTTGGCCGCTACGCGCGTGCTATCGGCATCATTGATTCAAGCACGATACGCGTACCGCGCGGCAATGTACTCGGCGTCCGTCCAGCGGCAGCACATCAAGCCGGCGTTGACGCGGCCATTGACTTCTTCAAACTCGACAGTCTCGATCTTGAACTCTTCTTCGCGGGCGTAGAAGCCCGGGAGCTGGTCCTCGGGGATCTCAAACACCGAAATCGTAAACGAGCAGCCGTCGCACGGCTCGGCCGAGAGGCTGGCCATCTCCTACGACAGATATGCCCACGTGGAGCGCGCTGCCGGAGGTACTTTGGTCTCGAGGCGCGCAATGCCACGCTGGAAAAAGATGGACGCGGGGTGCGCGAAGACGCGCCGGTAGTTCTTCACGCGCGCGAGGCGGAAGCGGCTCACGTGGTGGCCAAAGGTCGACCGCGCCGAGAGCTCCGAGAGCAGCGAGCCGTACCCGATGATGTTGACCATGCCGCTTGCGGTCTGCGCATCCGGATACCGTGCCACCTGTGTATCCGAAAACACAAGATCGGAAATGGCTTGTTGGCGGCAAAGTGGGGTTGCTGCAGGCCGCCAACGACACATAAGGCCGCTGGCAGTGGTACATGCTGCACTGGCCATCGACCGGCAGCCACGCCAGCGCCTAACGTGCTGTGAGCAGGAAATGCTCTTAATATCCGCCATGACAAGGCAGTCACTGACAACGCCAGGCAGGCCGTCACGATGCCAGCTCGCGTCCGCTCCGTAAGCTGCATACTAATACCGTGACCTGGCCCATAGAGTGTACTCGTGGCCACTGACAACCCGTCTATCTGGTTCAATCGACTTAGGTTAGCTGCATTACGCTTGGCAAAAGATGGTGCCGCCGTTGTTGCGCGGCATCGGCGGCGGCACGGGCACGTCGCCGTTGATCTTCTTGCAGTAGCACGTGCCCAAGGGATTGGTCGGCTGCGCATAGGCGCCGGTCGGTCCGAGGTACCACGCGAACGCGTTGGCGTTGCCGTTCGCCATGCACTTGGCGCAGTCTTGGAACGAGCCCTGAAAGTTGTTGACGTCGCCGGTGTGCGGCACGTCGTAGTTGCCGTAGCAGACCTTGTAGTTGTACGGGACCGCTGCGACGGCGCTGAGGTCCACGGCCTTGCTCCACACCGGGTAGTAGTTGTTGGCGACGCTGTGAAGGACGCACGTCTGGCTATACCGCGTGTACGAGACGGCGGCGCAGCCGACCGTGCTCAAGCAAGCGACTTCGCACGACTCGAGCGACGAGACGCCGCCCTTGGTCACCATGGCCGGGCCTTGGAACTGGTACCCCGGGTTCGCAACCCACTTGGACGACGACGGCAGCTTGGGCTCCTCCTTGCACGACTTGGTGACCCGGGGCGCGATGTTGAAGGCGCGGCTCGGGTCGATAAGCTGCTTCATGTAGCACATGCCCTGCGGCCCGTCGTTGTCCTTGACCCAGGCGAACGCGTTGCACCCGGGTTACGCTTGCACG